TAGCATGTTCAAATATGGATGAAATAAAAAAATTGAAAATGTAACTGTCAAAATAATTTGACATGAAAGACTTAGGTCCAGCAAAGAAAATCTTTAGAATACAAATTACAAGAAATACACAAAAAGAAAGTTTGTAGTTATCTCAAACAAAATACATCAACCATATTTTACATAGAGTTAACATGGGAGATGCCAAATCAACTGGCACACTTTTGTCTTGTCATTTTTGCCTATCTAAGGATCAATCACCTCAAACAAACGAAGAGAAAGAATTCATGGCTAAGGTTTTGTATGTTTTAGGATTTAAGGTTTATGTATGCCATGATTTGTATGAGGTAAGACATAATCCATGCAATTAGAGCAATTAACATGTTTATGTCAAATTCAGGTAAAGTTCATTGGGAAGTAGTTAAATTGATTTTGAGGTATATACGAGATACTACAAATAAGTGTTTGTACTTTGGTAAATGATAATTAAAAGTACAAGGATATGTAGATACAAACTTCGGAGGTGAAGTTGATCACCGAAGAAGTACCATTGGTTACATTTTCACTATTGGAACTATAACTGTTAGTTGAACATTACATTTACAAAAGATTGTTGCTTTATCACTATAGAAGATGAGTATAATGCAGTAACAAAAGCTAGTAAATAATTGAATGACTTCAAGGTTATTAATAAAATTGAGATTCATTTAGGAGAGTGTTTTGTACAGTTAGAGTCCAAGCACGATACATCTAACAAAGAATTCAACAGTTCATTATACGTTGATCTTGTTATTACTTCATCAGATATTTGATAGAGGATGGGATACTAAAATTGAGAAAGATTCTAGGATCTAAGAACTCAACATACATGTTGACAAAGGTAGTAACCATTGATAAATTGAAATTATGCTGAACTTCAATTAGCTTATTAGAATAACACGTAAGAGAAAGTTGCTACATTGGTCGAAGTGTGAAGATAAATTGAAATTATTCTTCAAGTGAGATATTGTTGGATTTGGTCGTAAAAAACATAAATTATGGGAAACATATTCTTTGTTGAAGGAAAATACAAATCAATAGATTAAAGGAATGATTTAAAAATAGAAAATAAAATAAGAGGATTAGATATTTTGCTTGTGCATATAAATAGCATAATGTAATAATTATTATTCATTCCAATTACGAAGGAGAAAGAAAACTGAGAAAAATATAATAGTTGTAAATACATAGTTTACAATTTTTTTTCTTTTAATAAAAGGTTTGCAACAACTTAGAGATTTATGTATAATTAGTTGAACTCTGTTATAATTTTTTATGTGATTATTTCGCATTTATTTTGTTTCTCATAAATCTAATTATAAGAAATGTGTTTTATTTCCTAATAGTCAAAATAAATTTTCTTAATAGAGAGCTAGTACAAAAGGGAAAAATTAGACGAGCTCGCCATAATTTTCCTAATATAATTATTATTTTTTGAGTACGTTATAATACTTGATATTACTTCTGGTCATAACTCTAAATCGAGCACATCTTATCATAATTATAAATCAAGCTCATATCAATCTTAATATTATTTTATAAATTACTAGTTCGTATAACTCGATAAAAATAATTGTTCAATTAAACTTATATCAATCTTAATATTATTTTATAAATTACTAGTTTGTATAACTCGATAAAAATAATTGTCCAATTTAGATCATCCACTCGACTTAATAACACCTTCAATAGAGGGAAAAATAATGTTACAATAAATTTTCATAAACCAAAATATATAACACGAATCTAAACATAGTTCAAATAAGTCTTATAGATTTCCATAATTAGAATTTACTTAAAGAATTTAGTTAGTTCATTCATTTATATTGAAATTAGAATTTGAAAAAAATGATATATTTATCTAAATTTTTGCATTAATTATATCATATTAAACAAAAATATTTTTTCATTTAATTCTCTTAGCTATATATTAATAAATATACATAATTATTTAATTATATATGAGAGGATATCATGTTATTAAAATAAATATAATTTATTACCTAAAATATCTTTATTGAGAACTCTAAATACAACTATGTCAATGTGTATCATATACCACAAATAAGAAACACCACAAAAATCGTTTAGTTACTCACGTGAAAAGCTAACGTAATGAATGATAGTTTATCAATGATCAAAATCTTGAACAAGGTCCTCCATATGTTGCTCTATATATCTTTTTTTTTTTTGGAACACCAGCTTTACGTAAACAGATGTTTTTAGACCTTTCTCTACTTCCTCTATTCTATCCTTTTAAGATTTAGTTATACAAACTAAACAAATTATTAGAAATTTATTATTTTTAATATATTTGATAATTTGTTTTTAATAATATTTTTATCATTTTAACATTTTTTTCAAAATAAAATATTCATATTGATTTATTATTTTATTTAACTATAATAAATTAATTGAAAATAAAAATATAATTAACAATAATAATTAATATAATCTTAAACTTTATAAATAATATATATATATATATATATATTAAATTGATAATTAAAAAAAAAACGGAGTATAGAATAATTTGTTGTAACTTGATGCGACTATGATAAGAAAATAGTTAGGCCCAATGCAAACCACTAACTTAGGAGAGTCAATAATATCACAAAATGCGAACTTTTTGTCGTTGCTTGCTTCGACCAATATGCTCCGCTTAAGCGAGCTTCTACCCTTTCCTTAAGTAAGCTTCTACGCTTAAAAAATAAAATAAAATAATTGCTTGACTTCACTAATAGTTTTCCTAATTTAATTGAGCTGCTTAACTGCTAACTTAAGCGACAACTTTTTCTTTCCAGCTTAATTGGGCTACTAATTTAGTAATTTTAATAATAATAAATTTAGAAATATTTTAGTCATTTTATATTATTATTATTATTAAATATTTTTTAGTTTTATCATATTTTTTCTCTTAATTTTTAGATGTATTTCATATTCTTTCTCACTTCTTATATGTATCACATGTTTATCTTTTTATTTCTTTCTCTACAATTTTTCAAATGCATAATTTTATAATAATTAATTTTTTATATTGTATATTTTTTTAGAGATTATAAAAAAAAACATTTTTATAATGGTATTCGAATAAAAGAATAACATTATCTTATAATCAATACATTAAAATAGACTATAAAAACGAGCATTCCCTCGTAGAAACATAGACACTAAAGTGTATGTATGTCTATATTTTTTAGATTATAATTTCTTTTAATATACATACATATATATAAACAATATCTTATAAACAATAACAAAAAATAATTAAAAAAATATCTTATATATATATAACTAGTAGAAATATAAATATTACAAGGTTTGTGAATTACATTTTTATATTTTTAATTTTTTTAGATGTTTTTTTTACCGATACATTGTCACCACTTTTTAAAAATACGTATCATATATTTTTTCTCTCTCTATTTTTTCTACTACCTTCAAAATGTATAATATTATAATAACTATTTATCTCTCTCCTTACCAGTTATAAGAAAGTAGTCACTTTTATAACTAATGATATATTTGCTAAAAAATAATACTATTTTATAAGTGATTATTATTAGAAATTGAGAAAATTAATTATGAATAACTGACATGTAAAATGTTACGTCATCATAATCCTGATTTCGAGGGACCTTTATCATTAACTTTCTTTTCTCTAAATTGGGTATAAAGTTTCATTACTGCAAACAATATTTAAATAAAGTCTTTCAAATTATTATTTCGTAATAAGTCAATAGTCTCATTTGTATATTAATTTATTCTACTGTAATTTTTTTTTATTATACTTTAAAGAAAAAAAAGGACACAGAACGTTTTCCTCAAAGAATGTTACAACATTAGATTTTTTTTTTTCAATATTGTCAAGAATAAATCCAAGCTCTTAAAAAACATAATAAGCAAAAAGAATTGAGTTCAAGACTCGTTGGATTACAATAGGGTCCTTTGGTTAATAGCAAACTAATCAAAGTAAGAAAATGAATTAATGATTGACATGACATTGGTGTTCTAAGTTGAATTAAAAAAAGATAGAAGAAGATAATGATCAAACTACCTATAATCATAGCGGGGACGATAAACCATAAGATATTATAGATTTTTACTGAACAGTTGTTGCTAAGAGCGTTTTATGTCTATATACAATTGACCAAGACAAAGACAAGTCACATGATAATGATTTATCCCTGTACAAGTGTATTGACAGGATGGCGGAGTCTTGGCAATACAATATTGTAATTTTTCCATGGAATCTTTGCAAAGAGCATTATCTATTCTATAATATATATGAACAGTTCAAGACAAAAAGATAAGATAAGGATTTATCAACAACATTAGAAGATCAAGACTGGACAAACTTCTATCGATAATAGTGTAAATAGGAGTACCAGAACCAAACAAAAAATACTATGAAACAACCACAAAGGAAAAAGTACTTGTGTTGTGTCCATTCATAGGACGAAAAAGACAGAAACATTCACTCTCACGTTGGGTTCAAAATCTGTCCAAAATACCCAGCTATTAGGAAGGATAAGCATTTCATATAAACCAACCGAATAAAGAAATGACAGTTCATGATTCAACTACGAAATTATTGTATCTAACAATTAGAGCTTAACCTATATAACATTGAAAATATGAATGTGTGAGAACATTCTTCAGATGAGATGATTGAATGACAAAGATCTTATACACATTGATAAAGTATATTTCAGTTCAGATATATATCACGGATGAGATTAACATGAAAGAATGTCTAGTGATGTTATTACATCCTACACAAAAGGCAAATTTGGGAACAAATCCACCTAGCCAGACACAAGAAGAGAGAGGAGACAATTCGAATAGGTCTATGTTGTTACAATTTCTACATTCTCAGAAACATCACTTTGTTGTTCCCTTACTGAAAGAACCCATGTTCTACAAATGGGACAAAGGGGTGTGTGGAGAATCCAGGAGTCTATGCAGAGCACATGGAAGGTGTGGTTGCAATTGGGCAACAACCTGCACACATCACCAACCTTGAAACTCTCCAAGCAAACAGCACAATCCACGAGGCTGCTCCCGCTTCTCTCTGCTGCTGCCTCCTCGTACACAAAGCAAGGAAGGTTTTTAAGAATGTTGTCTCCGTCGGACATTCTCTTCCTGTTGTGCCCCTGTTGAGTACCTTCTTGATTGTTGTCCCCTCTGAAGGCCCTCCCCACGATGCAGACATGGATAATCACCAAAATCGCTATCCCCACAAACAATATGATCAAAGAAATCACAATCTCCATCTCAACGATCTTGCTTTGTTTACATTCACTGGTACCCAACCTTCTTTCCCTTCAATCTTGGAAGGGTCAGATTCTGATAAAATTTGTATGCTCCTCGGATACAACAAATTAAAACTTGGGTCAAACAACCACCGCTTGTTGCAACGATGACCAACTGGTTGCTTTCATCATTAACGCATTTATTATTATATATATTAAAAAATATAAACTGTTCAATATTATTATATCTATATTTCTCTATATAATATATATAAAGAATAAGAAAATTTTAAAGATTTAAAATTTCACTGCTTACAAAGTAAATCAAGTATCATCCACAGTCTCAAGTTCTACAAAGTAAAATCCAAATTTGATGACATAAAATCGCTAGAAGGAGGGCTTGAACCTCCGACCTTGTGGTTAACAGCCACACGCTCTAACCATCTGAGCTATTCCAGCATACGAAGAACTCTTTCTTTGAAAACTTAATTTCTCCCAATACTCATACACTAAATTTTCTTAAGGAAGGGTGTATTTTTTTAATACGTTCCTTGTTGGAAACCAAACAAACACTGACATTTATGATGTATTTTAGCTTCCCCATAATAAATAAAAAAAAGTAATTTTTTATTAGCGTATTTAAGTCATAATAACATACATAATTAATTTTGCAATTATTTTAATAATGAATTAACTTTGAAGGAACTCATTATCCATATTTTCTTTAATTTTAAAATTTACAAGATAATCATTCAATGTAATGTTTACCTATATGACATATTCAAATTTCATTATATAGTATGAAATGGTTAATTAAATAATATTTAGAACCTAAAGAATACAAATATTTTGTACAAATTTTATTAATGTCGCGGTCACCATTTCATAGTACATTTTCTTGTAACTTATTATTGGGGAAATAATGAATTAGAATATTATATTTATCTTTTGAGATCATAATTATTTTTTATCATATTTGGAAGTCAAGTTTTATTTTTTATATTTTTATTTTTATTTTATTTTTACTTTGATCTTATTCATGATGTGTTATTTTCCCCCCTTTTATACGTGATACACTTTTTCTTTCTCTTTCTCCTATTTTCCAAATATACAATAATATAATAAGTTTTTTTTTCTTCTATTATCTCAAGGTTTTAAAAATTATACAATTTTATACATAATGTTATATTTAATTAAAAAATTACTTTCTTATACAAGCAGTTAAGAAAGGAGAATCTCCTTTATATATTTTCCAAATATTTAATATTATAATAACTATTTTTTCTATATTATCTCTCCTTCTAACAGTTATATATATAATCTCTTTTATCCGTAATGATATATACGCTAAAATATAATAGTCTTATAAGTTATTACACCAAAATCAATTACAAAAAGAATTTCATTTATTTATAAAAATGGAAACACATGCTAAAACATTTACGTGTCTACTTTTTATATTATTAATGTTTTAAAAATATTTATTTTACTTTTTTCATATACTTTCTCTCTTCACTCTTTGTATTCCACAATTTTTTTCTCCACTTATTATATACATTTCTTTTTCTTCTCTTTCTACTATGTTTTAAATTTATGGTTATAAAAACATATTTTTTATATGTAATTGTATATTTGATACAAAATAATAATAAAACTATAATACCAAAAGAAAAAAAATCACATATATATATATATATATATATATATATTATAATTTTTAATCTTAAATATTCTGAACGTCATTTTTAATATTTTTTTAATTCCGGTGATTAAAATTTAAAAGACTTAACTGATATTTAATGACTACATTATATTTTTAATTTTTTTATCCTTTGTTAGTAAGAGGTAAACGAATTTTTTAGATGCAAAAATTATATAAGAATTGAGTTTTATTTTATAAACATTATTGAAAAAATACATTGGAGATACCTAACTAAATTTTTAATTAAAAGGACTTGATTACTGAATTATTAAAAAACTTAGGCTTCTGCGATATTAACTTCCTTTCGTTTAAATCTAATTAATAGGTTTAGACTTCACTAGTTTCTCAAAGTTTGTAAGAGTGATTTGGAATTGTTCTTAACTTTAAACTCTTTCAAGTTTTTATATTCAGAGGATCGAAACATAAAATCTTTAAAATATTTTAAATAATTAAACTTGAGAAAGACGGTTGTTCTTATTGGAAATTGTTAAAGATCAAGATGCACAATTTGTACTCTTGTTATGTAATTCTCGTATCTGGGTAGAAATCTAATTTCATAAAAGAAAAAGAAAAGACCACCAAGACCAAACAATTCAGGAAAAATAATAATAATAAAAGAGACTAAATAGTTCAGATTCAATCCTGTACATCAAATATTTTCTTCTTAAACTCAATTTTACTTTCGTCGATTCCCTTTACAAATGTGCACTACAGAGTAGCCTAAAATAACTTTACTAAAAATCATCAATGGGTGAGTTACAAGTTATCTTAAAACAATTTCTTAGAGAAACTATAATCTAAAATCAAATCATTAAAAAAAAAAAACATGCACAGAAATTCAATTTCGTTATAGTGTGGGTCAGATTCCAAAACGAAAACTAAAACCCAATCAAACAGAACAGTTTTTGTCCAATAAACAAATGTCAAACTTAGGGAGCGTTTGAACAAAACTTATTTAAGCTTATTGAACTGAATTATACCTTCTTTTAAATTCCTTTTTAACTTATCGGAGTATTTAATTAAGTTGTCTGCCAAATGCTTCCTTGATTAGTCAATTGTTTTCAGGCTTTACGTTGATTCTTAGGTAAGGAAGTTCTTATTTGTAAATCGGAGGCAAAAAGGAAATAGATAGCGTGCAACTAACCGCAATAGTCGCAATTAAAAAAAAAAAAAAACGTCCACCCAACCCCCAAATGAAAATAAAAACGAATAATTCAAGGTTGTAAGTGAACTTTTAAAGCCAGACTCTACCTAATAATGCAGAATTTGATTGATGTACAAGCACTCAACACCTTCTAAGCAGATATTCAGGAAAGAAGAGAAAATCATATCCCTATGTTCTTACATTTCCTTCCTAACAAAGGCATAGTTTTCACCTCCTTCCAAGAGCTCAAATACCCAAGTCGGGTGGTTTTAATTCTTATCAGTGTTGCTCTCCAACTCCCTTCTTAACTGAAGAGAAAAATCATCACTAACATCATCGTCATCCCAATCATCCTCCCACTGTTGAGTCACTTCTTTCCCTTCCTCCTTGTCATCCCATTCTGGAAGTTGTAAAACAATAAAGATCAACATAAAGAAGAAACATTAAAATGACACCCAAGACCGCAAACAAATGTTGAATAAGCATTCTCTATATTAAATAACTTCCATATAAATACCATCAATGGAATCAATAAAAGAAGTGAATATAAAATAATTCAAGAAATCAAATGAATCCTAATATTATCTGAACTCGAGTGTTTACTACCAACGAGAAACAGGATCTAAAGCATGAAGAGCTAAGTAATGGCAGAATAATGCCTCGTTTGGATGTACTAAGATAATAATATACGGAAGGTAGACTCTAAGCAGAATGGAATGTACATACCATAAGTTATAGTCCACAGTCAGTACAATTATACATAAAACAGAATATAAAATGCCAGCCTTCTAGGGTAGTGCCCCTAAAGTGTGCTGTAAACATAAAGTCCTTCACTCAGTCCATCTTTCTCACATTGCTTACAAACCTGAGAACCATTACTTCCGACATGGAAAGAAAACTTTAGTCGAAAGGTTTAATAGCCTTCCCAAGTGATCAAGCAATGAATTAAGTAAACTTCTTCTGCTCAGAAATACACACCATGTTTTCTATACATCTATAGATAAAGAATAAATGAACATCAGCAAATCTTAAGTGTTTTTTGTGTGAAAGTATTATAGATGATTCTTTAATGAAAGATAGAGGTGGCTTTGTTAAGGCATGTAGGTTCTGAAGGAAAGAGGGAGCATTGCTGTCCGAACGACAAAGAGGTAACGTATGTAGGTTCTGAGATGTGGGTTTAGTGTAGGCGGTGTTGCTTTGTGGCAGAAATGCCACAGCTTTGTGACACGGTGTGAGGATGATGGCTCTAATTGCGTGTAGGATGAAATGTGGTTTGTTGAGTGAAGAGATTATGATGGGTTTGAATGGACAAAAAAAATAAAGCAGGGACAAACAAACAGATTTAACTATTCTACCTGACAGATTTGTGGTTGAGGTTTTCTACATGGACTCTTAATAAGTTCCAACTACTTGAGAGGTATCTTATAATTTAGACTACCTTGGAATATTTCTAGTTCTGCTAGGCTTCAGGAAATAAAAAAGAATTCAGGCTTGTAATTGGCGTGCATTGTGATCCTTCAATTATTTATTCCATTGAGCCCCAATAAAGATAGGTTAATCCCACCTCATGTGAGTTTTCTAGGTTTATGACACTTGAATAGGTGTATTCTCTTTGATTCTGTATGGGTATATATACTATATCATCTAGTTAGAGTTGATTAGGCAAGGTTAGGATGATGAAGGATCTTTGACTACTTCTGTTGTTTTGTACTGGAAAGACAATGAAACAACAAATAAAATATACGTAAAACAAGGAGAAAGGTTTTGTGAATCTGTATATACCACTGGATTCAAAGAAATGAACCAGAATCGTGTGGAAAACCAAGGACATGACAAACAAGCTTCACGAGACAATTCCTTTTTCTTCAATATTAAGGGGGCAGTGAAATTTATACTGAGGAAACAGTAGTGAATACTATCAACTATTTGGAGATGCATAGAACTGTTAGGAAATCCAAGTGTGATTCTAAGTCCCACATTGGGTAAGAATGAGAAAGTTGAGCAACATATAAAAAAATATGACCCATAACCCAATGTCTTAAGGTTTTTGGTTGAGAGTGGTGTCAATCCCTTATATGGATTGGACTTATGTCTTATTGATGTGTTTCTCCCCTGTGAATCCCTCTCGAAAGAACTCCCAACAATTGGTATCAAGAGCTTTGGAAGATGCAGATTGAAGATTATCTTTATCAACAAAAATTGTACCAACCTTTGTTTGAGAATAAACCAGAAACGATGTCTCAGGCAGATTGGGAGTTATTAGATCAACAGGTTTTGGGCGTTGTCAAATTAACATTGGCGAAGAATGTTGCCTAAAACATTATCAATAAGAAGACGACATATGATTTGATAAAAGCATTATCAAACATGTACGAGAAGCCATCGACATCAAACAAGATATTTTTGATTCGTCAATTAGTTAATACAAAGATGCGAGAAGGTGTTAGTGTCACAGATCATGTGAATGAATTTATTTCCTTATTGTCAATATTAGTGTCAGTGGATATTAAATTTGATGATGAAGTACAAACCCTCTTATTATTATCTTCATTGCCCAATAGTTGGTCAGGAACTGACACGGCAGTAGCCAGTACATCTAGGACTATGAAATTAATCTTTGAAGGAATTAGGGATTTAATCCTTAATGAGGATGTTCGTAGAAGGAATGCTAAAGAATCAACAAATTTCTTATTTAGCACTGAAGGAAGAGGTAGAAAGCCTGAAAGAGGGTAAGGTTCTAAACGTGGTAGATCAAAGTCCAAGGAGCAAAGACAATCCAAATCTTGCAAGGATATTCCTAAAGAAAAGAGACATGACAATACAATGAATATAGCAGATGAAGAAGACAGTGATGATGCGTTGATATGTTGTGTTGAGAGCAAGTTTGAATCCTGGATCATAGATTTTGGTGCATCTTTACATGCTTCTCCTTGCAAGGACTTGATGAAAAATTTCAGAAGTGGAAGTTTTGGCAAAGTGCATCTAGCAGATGATGAAGCTTTAGACATCGCAGGTATGGGAGATTTAAATCTTAAAACATCTACGTGTATAGTATGGACTCTGAAGGATGTCAGATATATTCCAGGACTCAAGAGAATGTTAATATCTATGGGTATGTTGGATGTTCAAGGATATCGAGTCATATTCGGAGAAGGCAAATGGAAGGTGGTGAATGGTAATCTAATTGTTACTCGTGGTTGGAAGAAAGGAACCCTATACATGACAGAATTACCTACAGAAGAAGTAAATTCAATTAGTGATGGTGTTGGTGATGATTTTGTTTATTCTTCAACTTTGTGGCACCAAAGGTTTGTTCACATGAACGAGAAGGGTATGAAGATATTAGTCTCAAAGGGGAAGATTCCAGAACTGAAAAAGGTAGAAGTTGGTTTCTGTGAATCATGTGTCTTTGGGAAAGAGAAAAGAGTTACTTTTGCAAAGTCAGGGAGGATGTCCAAGGTAGAGAAGTTGAAACTTGTTCATTCAGATGAGTATGGGCCAACATTAGTCTCATCATTGGGAGGATCACGATACTATGTCACCTTCATTGATGATTCCACTAGAAAGGTATGAGTTTATTTTTTGAAATAAAAATCAGAAGTATTTAATACCTTAAGTGGAAAACCATTGTTGAGAATGAGACAAGGTTAAAAATTAAATGTTTAAAGTCTGATAATGGTGGTGAATATAATATTACTAAATTTGTTGATTACTATGCTGAAAATGGAATTAGAATGATTAAAACTATTCCTGAGACACCACAACAGAATCGTATTGCTGAAAAAAATGATCAGGACCTTGAATGAGAGGGCAAAAAGTATGAGAATTCATGCAGGATTACCGAAGACATTCTGGGCAGAAATAGTGAGTACAACAACATACCTCATTAATCGAGGACCCTCATTTCCCATAATATTTAAGATTCTTGAGGAAAAATGGCAAGGCAAGGATGCAAGTCTTTCTCATTTGAAAGTATTTGGTTGTGCTTCTTATGTTCGTGTTAAAGATGTTAACAAGGACAAACTTAATCCGAAAGCAAGAAAGTGAATTTTTATTGGCTATGGAGCAAATGATATGTGATATCGCTTCTGGGATGATCAGAACAAAAGGATCATTAGAAACAAAGATGTTACATTTAATGAAAATGCAATATATAAGGATAAACTTGAGATAAAAGTTGATGCTAAAAAGGTGGGAGCTTAGGAGACAGGACTATTGAGGAGACTACTCCTATCACCCTAGTAGTTGAAGTGAGGAGATCCAACAGAGTTATTAGGCCTCCTCATAGGTTTTTTCCTTCAACAAATTACTTGTTGTTGACTGACGATGGAGAACCTTTGTGTTATAATGAGGCATTGCAGATGGATGATACAACTCAGTGGGGGTTAGCCATGCAAGAGGAGATGAACTCACTTGAGAAAAACAAAACTTGGTGTTTGACTGACCTACCAACAAGAAAGAGGGTATTGCAGAACAAGTGGGTCTTCAGGATCAAGGAAGAAGATGATGACAACAAGAGATACAAGGCAAGGTTAGTGGTGAAAGGCTTTCAACAGAAAAGAGGTATTGACTATAATGAGATTTTTTCTCCTGTAGTTAAAATAACTACCATTGGACTTGTGTTGAGTATTGTGGCTGCAGAGGATTTACATCTAGAGCAGTTAGATGTTAAGACAACATTCTTACATGGTGACCTTAATGAAGACATCTACATGATACAACCAGAGGGTTTTCAAGTTGTAGGGAAAGAGAACTTGGTTTGCAAGTTGACTAAAAGTTTGCATGGGTTAAAGCAAACACCTAGATAGTGGTACTTAAAGTTTGATAGTTTTATGAGTAGGATAGGGTACAAGAAGTGTGCTATGGATCAGTGTTGTTATATGAAAATTTTTGGTTAATCCTATATCATATTACTACTGTATGTTAATGACATGTTAGTTGCAAGTTCTAACATGGATGAAATTAATAAATTAAAGACACAGTTGTCTGAAGAGTTTGAGATGAAAGATTTGGGTATTACAAAACAGATTTTGGGTATGAATATCAACAGAAACAAATTTGAAGGTTTCCTAATATTATCTCAAGAGAAGTATATTGGAAAAGTGTTAGAAAATTCAATATGTAGGATGCCAAAATTGTAAACACACCTTTGGGAGTTCACTTTAATCTCACTCAAGAGGAGTCACCTAAGACAGATGAAGACAAGATATCAATGACTAAAGTTCCTTATGCATCTGCAGTCGATAGCTTAATGTATGCAATGATATGCACTATACCAGACATTGCTTATGAGTGAGAGTTGTTAGTAGATTTATATCTAATTCAATAAGAAAGCATTGAGAAGCTGTCAAGTGGTTGCTACGCTACTTGAAAGGTATTCTAAAACTGCATTAAGTTTTAGAAGAAATAATGTCATTTTGAAAGGATATTCTGATGTAGATTTGGGAGGTTGTTTAGACACAAGAAAGAGTATTACATGATTTGTCTTCACAATAGGTGGCACAACAATTAGTTGGATATCTCGACTTCAGAAAAGTGTTGCACTTTTAACCACAGAAGCAGAGTACATGGCTATTTCGAAAGCCAATAAGGAAATAATTTGATTGAAGAATTTTCTTGAGGAGCTAGGCAAGAAGCAGTGTGACCACATTCTTTATAGCGATAGTCAGAGTACCATTCATCTTGCAAAGAATCCTGTTTTTCATGCAAGAACAAAACATATCTAGTTGAGGTATCACTTCATTAAAGGACTAATAAGTGATAATACTTTGTTTTTGGAGAAGATCCTTAGGCCAGAGAATCTGCAAATATATTGACCAAGGTGGTTACTACTCAGAAGTTGAAGTTTTACATAACTTCAACTGACATTCATACTTAATTGTTGAGAAAACATTGCACTAGTTTGAGGTTGTTAGAACTTTGAGGTTTACTAGATTTATTTTGGAGTGTGCTTAATGTGATCAACCTCCAAGTGAAAAATTGTTAAGTATGTGAAGTCTGAAGGGTTATTGAGTCTGACCCATTTACTTATTTTTTTATTATAAATACTCATGTAATTGTAGACCTATTTGTGTGAATAAGAACCTAATTGTGTTGGGTCTTTCAAGGAGATTCACATAGAAGAACAACATCAATGAAATATGAGTCCAACCCATGTAAGGGATTGATGTCACTCCCAATCCAAAATCTTAAGACATTGAGTTATGGGTCAATCCAAAATCTTAAGACATTGAGTTATGGGTCATACTTTTTTATATGTTGATGAACTTTCGTATTCTTAACCAATGTAGAACTTAGAATCTGGATTTCTTAACAAAAGGTTCACTATGTTTATTATCTCAACTAAGCGTCTAAGGATCAGAAACAAATAACCAGTAATTAAATTTCAATAAAAAGAGTCAGTTAGACGTGCTGTTTGATAATTCAGTATTTACTAAACATATACTTTGTATCATCTGGCTGATTGACTCCAATCTTACACAAAAACATATAGTTTGAATGAATTTTAACAGCAAAAAAGAACATATTTAGCAGAACAGAGAAGAAAAAGAAAATTTAAAGACACTATCGGATCATAGTAACTATTCCGATTAAATATTCAGTTTGCAAGAGAGCAAGGAAGTGGAAAAAATAAACAGAGATGGATTTGAAAGATGAAAACATGCTAACAAAAAAATTTACATTGAAACAGAGGTAAAGAGAATATCGTCGGGGATGGAGAGAAAGGACGAGAGTACTATGATTTACCTTCATTGAGTTCAAACTCTTCAAATTCATCATCGTCTTCGAAGAGATCGATCTTGACGTCGTCGGTGGCAGCTTTTGGTTCGGTCGCCATGGATAAACCTGAATCCGCAGTTATGTTGAAACCCTAAGTGCGAATATTTGATCAAGGGAGAGAGCTCCCAAGTAACACTCTGCTGAACATTAATTATTTAATAAAATATTAAAATCTATAAAGTCCGGAAACAAAAATAAAAAGTACAATTTACATAATAATATTAAGTAAATCTCCATCAATATAAATAATGGTTTAACTAGATTTGCAATGTCTTCTAAGTTTATATAATAATAGATAAACATAAATTTTAAACACTGATTTTTTTTTTTACTTAAAATAGGTGTTTATTGAATACCACTAATATACATCTGCCATAATATTTGCTACAAGCTAATAATAATAAAATATAAACAGATAAGAAAAATTCAAATTTTAAGGAGACAAGAAATGAAAAATAACAATAATATGATAGAAAACTAATAATTATGATTTTGATTATAACGATCAAATATAAACATTATCTCATATTCATAAACATGTTGTAGATTGAATACGAAAGTGTATCTAAATTAGTCATAATGATGATGTCTCTTTTAGAAGTCTTATTGATCTTATGGTCTTCCACCTGAAGAACACCTTTATTTTCTCTCTGGATTTTCTTTCTTAATGAGGATAGAAAGAAAGGAACAGAAACTGAAACTTACGTTCTGTGTGTATGCTTTTAAAAGAGGATCATGACCCTTTAAATAACTAGAATTAGGTTAATTACTTATGTTTTAGTATTTCTAATTTGGTCTCTCATCAAATTAGAAATTATTTTATGGTCTCTACACAATTTTATTTTCATGACATATGCCTTTAGCCAAAATTTTAATTTAATCATATCACTTTATTATTTTGCTTAATAAATAATGACCCTAACACATTTAAATTATGTATCATATATATACACGACCCAACATTTGTCAACAATGTCCCACTGGTCACAGATATATATGTCCTTACAACCTTATAAATGTGTTAGACTTTATGAGTTCAAAATTATCATTATATTCCTTTAGCATACTCCAAAAGTCTCGTTCATTGATCATATTAGGATATAGAACCAAACTAGCTTTTCATTGCATCATCGCAACTAAAACCAATAATAATTTCTAATCCTGACATAACAAAATGATATGGATTCATCATGAAATGTGTAGCATGAAAAATTATGTGAAGGTGATATGTACACGTCTATTTTCAACTGGTCCAAACTTTAACTTTTCGAGATCGATATAATAACCTTAATGTACAAAGTGTAATGAATGAATGAAAAACTTTATATTTATAGATAACAAAATATGTACAAAAAATCAATGTATACATACATAAAATTAAGCATAGATCATAAAATATATGAAAATGACTAACTCCTACTAAGCCACAAATTCCTCAAACTGTAAAACACCCATGTGAGCAACATGCTAATGAAAGACCTTGGGCGGAAGTCCTTTAGTTAGAGGATCTGCTATCATGGAGGTTGTCCATAATTATTCTATGGAAATCTGTTCACTCTGTACTCTTTCCTTAACAACTAAGAACTTAATGTCGATATGCTTTGACTTAGTCGAGCTCCTATTGTTGTTGGAATACAATACAATTGATTTGTTGTCACAATATAATTTAAGTGGTCTTTCAATGCCTTTCACAATTTGTAGCCCTGTGACAAAATTTCTTAACCATATTCTATGATTTGATGCCTCACAGCATGCTACAAATTCTGTTGTCATAGTGTATGAAGCTGTAAGGGTTTGCTTGACATTGAGCCAAGAAACCGCACCACCTGTGTTAGAAAAAGAGACTGAGATCAAAAGGGGGGAGGTGAATTGATCTTTGAAAGATTTTCACACTTTTCTTCATACAGATTATCTATTTCAAAGATTTTGAATCAATAAAAACAAGCAATTTAATATAGATCAACAGTAGAATTAAAGAGAGTAAGGTTTAGAGAAATACAACCAAGATTTATACTGGTTCACCCAATCCCAGGGCTATGTCCAGTTCTCAGCCAAATTCCAACTGAGTTTCACTATATTAAATGTTTTACAGATTACAGTTTCCAATCACACACCCAATCTACCACAAGACGCAAATTCCAGATCTTGCACCTAAACCTTCACCAAGAACCAAATTTCAATCCTTGAACCAACCTACAGCCAAATTCCATCTACAGAACCAGTGCCCAAAAATTGCAGACACTCACCACTCAAGAACCAAGTTCCAGTTCTTGTACCAACCTACAGCCAAATTTCAGCTACAGAACCAGTGCTCAACAATTCCAAACACTCACAATACAGTAAAGAAATTGAAAGAACACAGAGAAGAAACTAGAACAATCAAACCCAGATTATGCAGCTCTTGTAGAATGAGTTTCTTCACAAAAAGAATGCAAACATTGCCTCAAGAAAGAACTCTGAAAAACTTCACAAAACTTGCACGATTCTTCCTTGAAAATAGCTCTTATGATTGCTTGATTGATTGCTCAAAAGTATATTTTAAAATGTTGAATCAAATCTGTTTATATAGAAAATTTTTTCAACTTCTGGTTTAATTAATCTATTAAACAGTTCTTTTAATCTGTTAAAAGTCTTTGATTAATCGGTTAAAACTTCTTTTAATCTGTTAAAATGTTCTTGATCATTTTCTATATTTATTTTAACTGATGCAACGCCATTTCAATCGATTAAAAAATTAACAAAAAGTCTCTTAAGTTGTTTTAATCGATTAATTCACAATTTAATCGATTAATATTTTGCCAAAAACTTTCACAAAACTTTCTAAGTGATTTTAACTGATAATAACAAGTTTTAATCGATTAAAACAGTTAATAAAAAGTTCCTTAAGTTGTTTTAATCGATTAATTCGAGTTTACATCGATTAAAATTCTAACAGAACATTTCAAGCTATTCTGATTGATCATTTTTTATATTACATCGATTAGAAAACACTCTAAGTGGTTTTAATCGATTATTTCAATGTTACATCGATTAAAACACTGTTAGAACACTTTTCAAAACATCTTAAGTGATTTGAATCGATTATTTCGAATCTATATCAGTTAAAATACTGGTAGAAGGTTTCCAAATACACCTTTAAAGAAAATAATCGATTATTTCGAAAGTGTATCAATTAAAACAACTCCAACAAATGTTTTAAATGGTTTTAATCGATTATTTAGAAAACATATAGTTAAAATTATTTCATAAGAACAAATTAGTCGATTAATATAGTTTTTAACAGATTAAAACATTTTTAGAGGCATTTTCGATTTCTTTCAAATGATTAATCCTCATGCAGCAGAGATATATGAATTATTATGCCTATGTATAGATGTATACTCACTAATTACTCTATCCTTCAACCCAAGCAGCCTTTTACTTCATCAAATCCACAAGATCTTCGTTTTATCAAATGATTCAATAAGATCTTCATTATTTTCAACCTGCCAACATGAAAATGTAACTTAAAGTGGATTTCAAACTATCTTGACATCCTGAAAAGTATGAGTCAGAAAACTCAGCGATCTCCAATTGGTCTGACCTCCTATATGTGAGCATATAATCTTTTGTTCTCTTTAAATATCTCATGACCCTTTGTGTTGCTTTCCAATGGTCAATTCCTGGATTACTTAAATAACTGCCTAGAACCCCGACTATATATGCTATGTCTGGACGCGTACATACTTGGGCATACATCAAACTCCCTACAACTGATGCATAGAGAATCTTCTACATTTCCTCAATTTCCAAAATCTCCTTTGGGCACTTATTGAGACTGAATTTGTCTTCCTTAGCAACTGAAGTATCCCCGGATTTACATTCATGCATACCAAACCTTTTAAGAATTTTTTCAATATAGCACCTTTGTGATAATCCTAAAATACCCCGAGATCGATCTCGATGTATCTGAATTCCTAATACAAAAGAGGCATCACCAAGATCTTTCATTTTGAAATTCTTTGATAAAAATTTATTAGTTTGGTGCAATATGCCTATATCATTAGTGGCAAGTAGAATGTCATTAACATACAAGATCAGGAAAATATACTTACTCCCCTTAAACTTGTGATACACACAATCATCAACAATATTCATTTTAAAGCCAAATGAGAGAATTACTTGATGAAATTTATAGTACCATTGACAAGATGCTTGTTTTAGTCCATAAATGGATTTTTTCATTTTGCAAACCATATTCTTTAGATCTCCCTGCACAAACTTTTCTAGTTGTACCATATAAATTGTCTCATCAATGTTGCCATTGAGAAATGCCGTCTTGACATCCATTTGATGAAGCTCTAAATCATAATGTGCTATAAGAGTCATAATTGTCCTAAAAGAGTCTTTCGATGAAACTAGAGAGAAAGTTTTTTTAAAGTCAATCCCTTCCTTTTGGGTATAGCCCTTAGCTACCAGACAAACCCTATACCTTTCCACATTACCTTTAGAATCCCGTTTGGTCTTAAATATCCACTTACAACCAATGGGTTTCATACCTTCTAGTAATGGGATAAGTTCCCAAACCTTGTTGTCTTGCATGGACTTATACTCCTCCTTCATTGCTTCAATTCACTTTTCATAGTTAGAACCTTGTATAGCTTGACGGAAGTTAACTGGGTCATCTTCTATCATATCATTATTTTCCTCATGTTCCTGAAGAAATACCATGTAATCATCCAAAATAGCACTTCTTCTTTCTTTAGTGGATCTTCGCAAAGTTATTGACTCATGATACATAGGTTCTTGAGGATCTTGAGTTTGTTCTTCATGAATAACCAAATCATCTTGAGTAAGGGGTTCATCAACAATATCTTGTGGAGGTTCCGAACTTACTTTATCAAAAGTAACTGTTTGAATTGGTTCTGGAATTGTTACCGATTCTTCCTCCAAGACAAAGTTCCTAATTTTATTCTTCCCCCCAAACTCAATATCCTCAAAGAACGTAGCAGTTCCCGTCTCAAAAATTGTCTTTAATGTGGGATTATAAAATTTATATCCCCTGGATCTTTCAGCATAACCAATAAAATAACTACTTACTATTCAGGAGTC